GCAAAGCCAGGAGATCAGGAAAGCATGGAAACGCAAAAGAAGTGAGCTCAAATGTATGCCAGGGACTCATGGTGAGATAGAAACCAGGGAAAGGGGGGCATTGCACAGGGAAGCTAAACAGGCTACGGTGTGATGGGCACCTGGATGTGTAGAAAGATGGGCACTCTGGCTTTGCTGATTGGCTGACTGAACCTGGGGGAGCCCAGCCATGGTCCAGCCTCTGCTCAGGGATCCAGCAACCAACAGGGCAGTAACAATGGGCCCAGAAAACTGGGTCAGAAGACAGTCTTCTTTCCAGGGCCCTCTGAGGTCTCCCACAATGACTGGATGTGCGACTCAGGAGACCTGTTCTCAGCTCAGTCTGTCATCCTCTGCCTCCCCAAGGACCTCATCCTGCACCGTCTCTGTCTACTTGAGTGATTCTTGCCATATTCCTGGCTGTTGTTCCTCAGTCATAAGCATCTTTATATAACAATAAGCCCCTCAGGGTTCCCTTGGCACTGCAAACATGTGCCAATAAAACCATAGATAAGAAAATAAAGTTGTGGCCCTGGGGGACTGGGGTGATGAGGGTGGGTAGGATCCAGACTAATCTTTCTACCCTGAGGGAAGCACACTGTCCGGAAATATCCTAACAAGATGTTAGAAGCCAGGGCACAGGTGCCTAGGACTTAGCTCTGGTTGGTCTCTTGAGGTCCATAGAAGGTCCCCTCCCTTTGAAAATATTCACAGTGGTCTCAGAGCCAGGGGTGAATCCAAGCCCTGGCCTGATGGAAATCCATTCAAGGCCAACTCCTTCCAATGCCCTCCAAAGGGAAACCATGACTTCTCAGGGCTGTTTCTAGGGCATTCAGACTATACCCAAAACAAATGCTGGATTTATATGACTGGTTACGCTATTATTAATCCTAAGCATCATTGCATAGCTGAGGGAGGCTTTGCTGCGTAAGCTCTTTCCCTAGTGGATATACTCGGTCACACAATGCCCTGCAGGTCCAGGTCCTGCTCCCTGTCTACCCACCCCGACACTTGCACGAGGGTTTGTCAAGCTCTCCACACCAGTATTTTCAGCCCTCTCAGGGATTCCTGCCTCCTTATATGGTGCATTCAAGCGGCAGTATCTGTGCAGCAAAGACCATGGGTTTAAAAACATTCAAGGATGTCCATGCTTGAGCATGACCTGTGATGGGGAAACTTCCCACTGCTGTGAATGAAGCAGGCTCAGAGGGAAGAGTAACTGTTTTCATTATCAGAACAGCAAGCTGGCTCACATTTTGAAGGTGCGGTCAAAGGCACTGAATCAGGAACATGGGGCAGCTGGTCATGTTCCTTCCACAGTCAGGAAACAAAGAGAGAGGAAGGCTGGCGCTCAGCTCAATTTCTCCTTTTCATTCAGTCCAGGACCCCAGGCCACGAGGTGGTGCTGCCCACATTCAGGGTGCATCTTCCTACTTTGATTAACCGATCTAGACATTCCCTCCCAGGGGTGCCCAAGGGTTCGTTTCTTGGATTGAAGTCCCATCAAACTATCAAGTTTAACTGTCGTAGCAGGTTAAGTAGGTGCTTCCCCAGTAAGATATTTCTATTCTCTTTTGACATTGTGTGTATCCCTTGTCGTCTGCGAGGGGCTACCCCAAGTCTGAGGTCTTGTGGAGAATGAGGAGGAGGAGGGAGGAGAGGAGGTGACAGGAACAGAAAAGCAGATTGTAGTTGTGTAAGAGAGACACAGCCACCTGCTGTGTCTCACTCTTCTCTCAACACCTCATAGGAAGGAGAAGATTATGGAGATGGGAGAACGCTCAGCCCACAGGGCAGAAGCCCAGGCAGCTTTGGACACTGAGTGTTATCCTTCTGCGTAAGGCATGCTCTGTGTTTGTGGCCTCAGCGCACTCCTACCTGTTCTCAAGAGAAGACCACACACACCTTTGTACTTTCTAGATAATCCCACCCTTCTTGGCCTCTACTCATCCAAGAGTCCTTAAGCACAGACACCAGACTTTATGTTGTGAGTGTTTAATGAGTGCCTTCTGTCGGCCCCAGAAAGTTCTAGCGTTAGGGAGGTGTTGACGGGTGTCCCATTATCATCCCCATTGCTGTGATAAAACACTGACCAAACATGATTTGAGCGAGGGGAGGGTTTATTTGGCTTATTAGTCCAACACCAAGGGACGCCAAGGCAAGGATCTGAAGGCAGGAACTGAAGTAGAGACCATGGAGGATTGCTGCTTACTGGCTTGCTCAGTTGCCTTTTTTAAACTGCCGAGGCCCACCTGTCTCAGGTACACTGCTCACAGTCGGCTGGGTCTCTCCTACAGCAATTACTAATCCAGAAAATCCCCTGCACTTCCCTCCCAGACATGCCCACAAGTTGACGGTCAAGAATAACTGTCACCGTGAGCAGAGACTTGGTGACGGCGAGTTTTCTGCCTTTGGGTGGTGCCACATAATAAGCAAAGAGACCTGCAGAAAAAGGTGCCCCCAAGACTGACATTCAGTACTAAGGATGTGGTACCCAGGCTGGTCAAATAAGGTCAGGAGAAAGGCTCATACAGGCCATGAGTAGCTAGGCAAGCAATAGCTGCAGAAGCCGTGTGCAGAAGACAGGTGAGGACGTGCTAATGGCTTCAGGGAACAGCAAGGAGCAGACGAGGGTAGTCTGAGTCACTGCGGGCCAGCAGAGAGCATATGAGGTCATCTGAAGGGACAGGGTGTGCTCGACCAGGTAGAGGACTCGGTGTGACAGGCTGTCTGCTTCTCTTGCAGTCTAGAAGATGCTAATCCACTTTGTAAAACGCTGAGGCCTGCAGCTAAACAGCAGCCGGGACTGTCTTCTGCTATAATCACCCCCATTCCCTGACTCATCGCGCCCTTAGCCGAAGGCTTCTACAAACTGCAGGAGCACCTACGTGCGTTGATCCGGACACAGCGCCCTGTATGTGGCAATAACACACACACACACACACACACACACACAAACACACACACACAAATACACACACACTGCACAGTTAAGGGAATGGATGCATGAACAACAGCCTCCACATTGCCTGGTTGTTTCACAGAATTTGAGTTTCTAGGTATGGTGTTTTTGCTTGAAAAGAAACGTCAAAATAAACAAAGACAGCTTTTCAAGGATTCCTCAAATCCTCAGAGACAAGGGCGGTTCTGCTGGCTGGGAGGGCTGCCTCCTGGTGGCGAGAAGAGGAAAAACAAGTGAGCCAGGCTCTAAAGCTCACAGATGTAGAAGCCTTTGAAGCTGGTGAAAAGCAGAGAACACAAATGACCCTGTGAGCCACGGTCCTTACTGATTTGGGATTATGTGTTATCTTGCTCCCCACGTCACCATGCATGTTCACCTGAGCTCACTTGAAAAGAACAAACTGAGGTGCAGTCATGACCAGAACCCGGATTCAGACTGCTAACCTCACATCTCGACAGCTCTGGCCACACTGGAGCAGAGGAGAGGGATCACCCCCCCGCCATTCCTGGGCCAGAAAACTACTCCTGGGGTGGCCAGACATCCTTCCAGTAAGCAGAAATTGCCAGAGTCTTGAGTGGGACGGAACTAAGACATTTTTAAAGATGATGAAAAATGTGTTTAAAATTGTTTTTACTTATCAACTTCTAATACAGTATTTTTTATTAATTCTTTGAGAATTTCACAGATGTACACAATGCATTTTGATCACATTCACCCTCACTCTTCCTGCTAAGTCCTTCCAGATCCACCCCATCCCCCACCCCCCAAACCTTGAGTCTTTTTTTTTTTTCTTTAAAATAACCAAGTTCAAGTTGTTCTGATCGTATACTCTTAGGTGTAGGACCGACCATCCTGGAACACAGTAGACTAACCCAGAAAACTGACATCTGCTCCCCAATCTGTCAACTGTCAATAGCTCCTCATCTAGGGATGAGGGTTGATGATGCGCCATGCTGGAATGTTGACTGGATTGATCTCGTGCGGGCGTTCACTGAGTTTGTGAGGGAGCAGTCCTGTTGTGTCCGTAAGATACTGTTTGCTTTGGTTATTTCCCGGCCTCTGACTCTTACAAAATCTCCACCCCACGCTTACAGAAGTTCCGCGAGTCTCGGCGGTAAGGGGTAGGATATGGATGTCTCCTTTGTGGCTGAGCACTCTGCAGACACCTAGTCTCTTTGAGTTGACCAACTGTAAGTTTCCGCACTGGCCACGGCCCAAAGGAGCAGCTCGGATGAGGACTGAGCGCTACACTAATCCACGAGCACGGAGCCAGGCAGTTAGAGGGCTGTCTGTCACGACGTCCATTGGGCAGAACAATAGTAGCAGCATCACTCTGGGGACCTAGGAGTTCTCTAGATAAAATACCCTTTCCCCCCACCACCCCAAGAAGATACATTTTAAGTCACATTATTTAAGGACTTTTCCGGTTCTTGGGTCCTGATTTGTCGCCAGGTGTCTTTAATGAAGCTCAGGTGCAGACTCTAGCTAGTCTGTAAACACGGCAGGTTTGCGGTAATATTGTGTTTTTAATTACACTTATGTATGGGTGTGTGTTTGCTCACATGCTTGCGCCTGCGTCGTGGAGCGTGTGTGGAGATCTGAGGGTAATTTACAGGAAGGAGCTGACTCTCTCCTTCTGCCCTGTGGGTCGGGGAACTGACCTCTTATCATCAAACTTGTCAGCAACTGCCTTTACCAACCCAGCCATCTTACTGGGCCAAGTGTGATGATTTTTTAATTTTGACTCAACTATTTTGCATGTGCATGTTTGTGTGCGGGTGAGCATGCATGTGTTAGCAACCACGTGACACATGGAGGCCAGTGGAGAACCTTGAGTTGTGGTCTTCCCACACCATTTAGTTTGTTTCTTTGTAGAAAGGGTCTCCCCCTGGCCTGGAACTTGCCTGCAAGGTTAGGCTGGCCCGTCAGTAAGCCCCTCCTGTCTCTGCTTTTTTTTTTTTTAATAGAATCTTTTTTATTCAGGAAAAAAAAAATCAAAAACATTTTTTTTCCAAACACACACAGGAGGGGGTATGGGTAAGGGGAGGTATCTGTCTGTCCAGCCCCAGCCCCCGGCCCATGTGGTTTTGGCAGCAATAAGGGAAATGGGGTAATGGCCCAAAAAATAATGGTATGTGTGTGTATGGAAAGAAAGGGTGCAAAAGCTGAAGGGAGCAGTGGGGGAGGGGACAGATGAGGTCAGTACTGGGAACGCCGCAGGTGGGAGGCCATTTCATAACATTTCTTGTTGATCAAACCACCGTGGACACCTTCTTTGCCCATCAGCAGGACTAGCGTCTTGGCAGTCATGGTGACAGTGACATTGAAGGTTGGGGCTCCTCCGGTGCTCTTGGTACGAAGATCCATTGTAAATTCCCCATCCTGCAGCAGTGAGTCCCGGATCACAGAACATTTCTGGCCCCCAAGTGTCAACCCATTCACGAAAACACTTGACCGGTCTTTGCCTACCAGGACACCAACCTCAGCTGGCGTAATGCTAACGAAGGTCTTCCCGGGGATGGCGGCCCAGACGGAGGGCGAGTCCTTGTAGCCTACGATGGCCTCGTCCTGACAGGTCCCGTCCGCCATGAGGCTGTCGATGTAGGCGTTCCACCCGGCCATGGCGCTGCTGCTGGGGCCGCGGGCTGGGCTCGGGCTGGCGGGCGGAGGGGGGGGGGGGGGGGAGGCAGAGAGCTCGGGGCACCCTGTCTCTGCTTTTATCCAGCACCGGGGTCACAAGTGTGTGCCATGGTGCCTGACTTTTCAAAAGTGGGCTCTGGGGATCCATTTCAGGCTTCCTTCTTCCGAGACAAGCAGCCTACTGGCTGAGCCATCTTCTCAATGTATAATAGTTTTCCAGTAGACCTGTGTCTTTGTTCTCGACCGACTTGTAGGGCCCGTTCCCTCCCTCCACCTTGTTTCTTGTGTCTGCGCCTGAGTGGCACTGTGTATTCCAGCTTGCTGGTTCAGGGGCTTCCTGAAAATTCTCCCTTCTGCCTCCCACCTCCGTAGGAACCCTTGCTCCCACCATGTCCAGTTTTTTATGTGGACCCTGAGATCAGACAGGCTTGCGCAGCATTAGAAACAAAAAAAGTAAATTCAGTGTCACACAAAGGAACACAGGAAGAAGGCAAAAATAGCTTGGCAGAGTGGTTCGGTTTTGGAAAGAGGGCTCACGTGACCCAAGCCAGGATGGCAGTGCTCTTGGCCAAACATCCTTCAGTCTTTTATCACTGACACGGGAGGTGACTGCACTGCATCCCATGGGTGGGAGCGCCACTTTGCCTCCTGACCTGGCTAATCAGTGTTAGTGGGCGAGGGAGGGGGCTCAAGAAATACGAGTCCTTGTCAGGGTAACCACCTTAGATGAAAACAAAACACACAACTCTCACAGCCCTGTAGTCCACTGAACCATCTCTCCAGCCATTTCTTAAATATTTTTTATACCCAGTTACTAGTACTGGCAGATGTGAATACACTGTACTTTCTCAGTGAGGCTCAAAGGAATGCACCCAATTTTAAATAAACCGCCTTAATATTGCATCTCCTCACACATTACCAACACAGAGACACGGAGCATTTTAACCTGAACTGACAGTTCTTGGGGCTGACTGGGTTACCAACATGTTTTTTTTTCGAAGCTTCAGATAGAAACACACTTGCCCAAGCTACTCCTGAAGCAGGATCCTCATTTCAATTTATCCACAGATTTGAAACCCATTAATGTTAAAAACCTCTAATCTTTGCAAAGAGATTCCTTTCAAGATCTTTGGGTTTAAAGCGTGAATTTCTAATTCTCTCTTCAGCTTTCATATATCTGAACAAATCACATAAATGACGTGTATTTTAACAGGACTATGAAGGTTATCTAAATCACGCGAGAGTCTAAGAGATCCATGTTGGGAGATGAGAGCAATAACCTTACAAAGATAAGTGTCGTTAGCATGGAAAGGGCATGAAAAAAATTAATGAAGTTTTAAGGTCACAGATAAATTGAGGGGTGTAAAGCTGTCAAATCGTCTCTCGTGAGACTCCGTTCTACCAGTCTCACGACCGTGACATTCCCTAAGGTGGTGTTGTGTTCTCTAGAATGTCAAAGTGGGCAGTCTGTGGGCGGCGTCCATCTCTGAGGCCGGAGAACGAACTAAGCAAGCCAGCAGGCAGGACTGTTTTCATTGTGCTGCTGTCCAGTTCTGCCACTAGAGGGAGCACGAGGCACACAGCATAAGTGTAGCTAAGGTGGGGAGAGACAGGAGGCAGAGGCAGAGGTTGCCCTGACTTTACACTCAGTAAGCCCTGCAGTGTCTCTAAGGGGGAATTTGAAATGCACAGTGTTCAAACAACACAGTCTAGACCACAGTCCGCTGAGCACACTTCCCAATCACTGGCGTCTCCCTGCATGCTGGACAGATTCCTTGGGTGCATAACCAACCCCTTCCCACAAGGCTCCTGTGAGTATCACTGTTTTACACAGGAAGTCAGTGAGTGGGGAAGGGGAGGAAGGAACGTGTGAGTCTAAAAACCAAAGGAAGCGGACCTCAGTTGTCTGTGTCTATAACCTTAGCACTTGCAGGCCAAGGCAGGGGGATTGCTTGAGTCAGGAGTTCACGGTCCACTGAGCAACATAGAGGAACTCTGAACTAAAATAATAATCACTTAAAATTAAAAAGAAAAGAAATTTTTTTAAAGGAAATGAGTCCCCCAGATCCCAAAGGACACGTCCTTTCCAGGGTCCAGGAAGGAGTGGGCCTCAGGCAGGATGCGCTTTGGTTCTTATAGTTTTATGACCTCCCCACCAAAACAATGTCCTTGCTTTGAAGTCAGGGTTCTGCCATCCTATTTGTTTCTGATAAGTTGTCCCCTGTTTCCCACTGAAGATCAGCCATGGCATTACAGAAGGAGGACAGAAAGAGCGAGCCACCCCCATCTGAGATAACAAGCGACCCCGTAAAGTTGAAGGGAAGTCAGCTGCGCTGACCAAGAAGCACAGGGCACAGCCATAAACCCTGCGGTGTCCTGAAGGCAAAGGCGCCAGTCCACTTGTGGGGAAGAATTCCACGGCCAATAAACAAAGAGTGATTTTCTATTGATCTTCCTTGGTCTCCCTTTGATTAACAAAGATCACGGTGTGGAAGTCGGGGCATAATCCTTCCACGGGCAAGTGGGAGTCAGAAGCTGCTGGTAATCTCTTTATCTTTAACTTTGACTGTTAGACATAGAGACAGGCACAGCTTTGCAAAGCTGTATATGAGAGGGAATTGAGTTACGAACAGAACACCTCTGTTTTCGAGAGTGTGTGTGTGTGTGTGTGTGTGTGTGTGTGTGTGTAACTATAAAGACAGGAAGGGCTATGACTCCCAGGGTGAGGTGTGGGGAGCCAGAGGTTGGGTGTCTTCCCCAGTCATGATCAACCTTGTGTTTTGAGAATCTCTCACTGAACCTGGAGTTGAGCCGTTCACTCCGCTGGTGGGCTAAAAAGTCCCAGGATCCTCCTGTCCCGCACTCCCCAGCTCTGGGATCACAGGCCCGTGCCCTGACACACGACTTTTATGTGGGTGCCAAAGATCAAACTCAGGTCTTCATATCTGTGCAACAAGCGCTTCGCCAACTGAGCCGCTTCCCCAAAGACCTAATGACCGTCTTGGCACGGGCCAGCCGCCTACTTATCTCCAGAAACCTTAGACTTGGACCCTGCCCCCCTCCGCCCCAGAAACCATTTCCTCCCGTCTCTCGGTTCATTCATTCAACACACATGCACAGCCGGCTAAACTTCACCTGGTCTCGCTCAGCAGTGCTTGCCTTCTCACTGGGCATGCTCACAGCCCTTCCCCCCATGACTAAGGGCCAATTCTCTCATGATCCTCTTTGAAGGCCCCGGAATGGAGTGGACTCCTCTGGAAGTGCCGTCACGAATGCTCCCGCTCTATGGCTAAGCTCTTTGTCTCCCTGACAAGGGACACACACACTGACACACTTGCCTCCCTTTTACCCTTCCTCAGCAGCCTAGCACAAATGTCACTGGAACAACCCCCTAGCCCCACATTCCATCCTGCAAAGCAGTCCCCATCCCATGCTTGTAGAGAGTCCTATTTATTTCCTTCTCGGGAGCCCCTGTGGCTTGGAAACTTGTGGGTCTGTGCATGTATGTATAATTTATAATGGTAGTGTGTAGCGTGTGACTGCAGGAGGGTGCAATTGTTTAAGGCCTGTGTGGTGGTTTGGATGAAAATGGTCCCCAGAGGTCAGAGGTGGACAGTAGCCTGGGGTTGGGGGAGGCAGTCATGTGGACAGCAGCCCAGGGTGGAGGGTGGAGGCAGAGAGGAGGCAGACAGGTAGACAGCGGCCCTGTGGGGGGCAGGAGGTAGATTCCTATAAATAGACCTTTTCTTTTTTTTTGAGTCTTTAGATCCAGCCTCTGATTTGTCTGGCTGAGCCGATCTGCACATAACACAGAAGACTGTGAGGTTTCATAAAAGCAGTGGGGGGCAGAAACCGTGGCTCAGCAGGTAGAAGGGCCTGCTACCAGGCCTAATGACCCGAGTTCCATCCCATGTCCCACGTGGTAGCAGGGCAGAATCAATCTGTCTGTCTGTCTGTCTGTATGTATGTCTGTCTGTTCATCTCTCTCTCTCTCACACACACACACATATGTCCACACTCATGCATGCACGCACGCGCGCAGACACACACACACACACACACACATGTCCACACTCATGCACGCACGCATGCACGCGCGTGCACACACACACACACACATTACTGGTAGCTTCTCCTCTATGCTGACAGGAACATTCTGTTTCGCAGCTAGCTAATCTCTATGAATTCCACTAATGATGGATTCTCACTTATTTCCAGTTTTGGGGTTTCAATAGAGAATTCTGAGGGCGGGTCTTTGTACAACATGCACTTTATTACTCGTAGGTAGATACCCAGAATAGAGTGACGGGGTCAGATGGTTATGTGTTTACTCTTTAAAGAAACGGTCAAGAACTGAGGAGATGGCTCAGTGCTTAAAGTGCTAGCCTGAGGACTGGAATTTGGATCCCCAGAACCCAAAAGCCAGGTAGGTATGGTGAGCACCTGCTATTGGGAGGCAGGGATGGGGGCTCCCGAGGTAAACTGACTAGCTAGATTAGGCAGAATCAGTGTGCTCTGCGTTCAGTAAGTGACCTTGCTTCAGAGAGTGGTCCATGAAGAAATCCAGTATCAACTCAGGCCTCCACATGCATACACACACACAGTCACAACACACACATGTGAATACACAGATGCACACCACACACATGCACACCACACATATATAGGCCAATAAGGAAGAAACAGTCAAATTGTTTCCATCATTCCTGTATCATTTCCCCATTCCTTCCAGTGGGTGAATAGCTTGATGTATCTCCACACCCGCAACAATACATTTTAATCACAGACATGCTGGTAGGACACACTGTCTGATTGGCTTCGTTCTGCAGTACGCAGGAGCCACGCTCCTACCCGCTGTCGCTCCATCCACAGTGGAGTGGCTTGAATGACAAATATCCTTCATAGGCTCAGATGGTTGAAAACTCGGTCTGCAGGTGGTGGTGCTGTCTGGGGAGGTTTAGGAAATGCAGGCCTTGCTGGAGGGAGTCCATCACTGGGGGTGGTTTTTGAGCGTGCAAAGC